CTTACTGAAAAAATTATGACATCATCTACATAGACGCGGCATATTTTTCCGATTTCTGCCCTAAGTACATCGTCAATGGCCCTCTGGAAATGGAAAATACTGGGCGCATTTTTTAGGCCAAAGGGAAGTCTACAGAATTCGTACTTCCCGTTATTGACCGAAAATGCAGTTTTTTCTCGATCTTTCTCAGCTAGTTTAATCTGGTGAAAACCAGACTTAAGGTCTATCGTGGAGAAAAAGTTAGCGTTTCCCATGTTTGCCAAAATTATAGACGTGTCGGGTATCGGATACTTGTCACTCACTGTTTTTAAGTTTAGTTTCCTAAAGTCAATTACGAGTCGTGACTTTCTATTACCATCTTCATCGACGCCCTTCTTACTTACTACCCAAATTGGATTATTGTAAGGAGAACGGGATGGTCTTATTATACCGTCTTGCAACAAATTCGTTATTTCTTTATTGACGAATTCGGCTGATGCCATGGGATATGGGTAGCTCCTAGAGTAAACGGGAAGATCGTCGGTGGTCCTTATTGTTCCTACAATGTCGGTGTTATATGGTAGTGCTTCATTAGGGTCCGCGAAGACTCTAGCGTGCCGCTTCAACAATGCAGGTATACTTAAATCGTTATTTGGCGTTTCAACATCCGTTTCTATTAGTTTATTAACGTCAGGACAATCGTGATATAAAAGCTTTTCCTGTCCACCGTTGTAACTTAAAAGTCCACTCATCAAATCTATTTTACCGTTCACTTCTTTGAGTAGGTCGAAACCTATAATACCGTCAAAGGTGTTAAGACTGGGTAGGATGAAGAAGCTGGTGTTTCTATTAAAAATGTTTATGGTACAGTATTTGTCAATCCTAGTGGTGCCATGGATTGATTTCACCGTAAAGGCGTGACTTACGGGTTTGATTCCCCTTAAGTCTTTGAGCGGTTTTACGTAGCTCTTTGTGGCACCGGTGTCGATAAGGAATTTTATGCCTCTTCCCCCGATTGTCCGCTCGACATAGGGCAAGAGGGATTTCGTCCTAAAAAATTCACGTCGTCCTTGGGTTCATCTTGACAGTCGACTGGGTTCCACACTTCATTATGGTAGTAATTGTCATATAGAGCATCATTACCATATTCTTCCTCGAGTTCGTCGTGTTCTTGGACAAGGTTGTTTATTCGTTGTACCTTTTGTATTGGCTGTTGATCACTCCCGTGTGATCTTTTTTCTGGTCGTGGTGCTACCTGTCCAATAGTCTGGTTGGTGGTGTTTCGGATGGGCAGGCCACTTGGTGTGCCAGCATATGGACGAGATGTTCCTGGATAGGTTCCTAGGCGGTTCCTCTCGTCATTACCATTTATTGGTTGGGGTCTGTTTGGTACAGGCGTTTGTGTCTGGGTCTGTCGCTGTTGGTCAGGTTGTACTCTGCGGTACTGTGGTGAATATGGGTAGTGACTGGGGCTTTGAATTGCTTGCCTATTAAAGGAATGGGCGAACATGGATCTTGCTTGGTTTGCCTCAAGTTCTTGTGCTAACGCTAATGCAGAAGGGAGGTCACAAGGCCTGGAAGAAAACAATATGTCACATAAAGGACGATTGAGTCCAGAGATAAAAACACGAAGAGCATCTTCGCGATACTTATTGTTGAGTGATTCTATTAGGGTGTCATTTCCACCATGGGTCATAATGGTTTTGTTAATTATGAGGGCGAGCTTCCTTTCAACCTCATCGTAGAATCCTACTACTGATAGTTTACCCTGTCTCAAGGTGGAGAGTTCCTGTTCTATCAAATGTATGGGTCTCTTATCGGCGTAGGCGAAATCTAGCCGTGAAATAATTGCTTGGAAATTTAAAACGGTGTTGAAGGATGATAGAACACCGCCTGCTGCCCCTACCGCCTTATTCCTGATAATGCCTACGGCTTGGTAGTGCTTAGAGCTACCTTGAAATCTCTCAGAAACCTTATAGGCAGTATGCGCAGCTTGTCTCCAGGATACATAGCGTGTAGGGTCGCCTTTGAATTCTGGCATGGTTTTTACCAGATCTAAGGATTCGTCACATGCTATGTTTGGTTCGATTGTGACTGGTTCATATTGAACGACCTGAGTTGGGGTTTCAATCCTAGCTAGCCTGCTTGTCAACTCATTTATGCGGGCCTGGAATTCCTGTCTGGAATGCTCCGTTGCAGTACGGATTGCAGTATTAAGAAGGGCCTGGACAGTTTGGGAGTCCATCGTTTAGGGAAATCTCAAATTCAAGTACTATCTTTATTAATTTTTACTTCTCAAATTCAAGTATTACCCTTGTTTATTAATTGATTGAATTTTAAATTTTAAGTTTTATTTGGAGTCTGAACGTTTAACTTTTTATAAATTACACTTTATAACTTCATATAAATTCTAAAAATGGCTGCTGAGTTCTCTACTTACATGAATATTCCCATTCTTATGCTAATTGCTTAGTATTCTTCTTCGGTGGATGATTGTTGAATTTGGGTGCGCTTTATCGTCCCTCGTGGGCAACGCCTCGGGTTGGCGTGCAAAGCCTTATATATTTTTGGTGGGTTTATTTTGAAGTTTTTTACTTAAAAATTTCTTTAAGTATTTTTGCCTGGTGGTTTTATTTGTAGTTTTTTCTTACTTTGGTGCTTTTGTATTTTCACCTGATGATGGTTTTATTTGTATTGCGATACTTCTATGGTGGCACTTAGTCTTTTATTTAATTTTCCTGGTTTATTTTAGCACTTCTATAGTGGTACTTAGTCTCAAAGTTTTTATTAAAAAATTTTTTGATTTATTGTAGCACTTCTACGGTGGTACTTAGTCTCACAGTTTTTTTTTTAAATTTTTTGATTTATTGTAGCACTTCTATGGTGACACTTAGTCTCAAAGTTTTTTTAAAAAATTTTTTGATTTATTGTAGCACTTCTATGGTGACAATTTATTTATTGTAGCACTTCTATGGTGGCACTTAGTCTCAAAAATTTTTTGAAATTTTTAGGAGGTGGGTCCGAACCCACGGCCAAAACTCGCGTGTCCTTTACAAGGATTTTCCTAGCTTGGCCCCACGTTGGGCGCGAGTAAGGATTAACCACTTAGTTGGATTAATATTCTTTATTTCCCTTG